AGCGAAGGCGAGACCTGAGTCTTCACTCCAAGTCACTCTGCTCAGTATGGCTAAACTTCTCTTTAGGCGCAGCCCATCGCAGCAAGCAGTACTATCCTCTACCAGGCAAGGTCTTAAGCCTGGGTAATTGGCCAAGGAAGATCCCCACTGGCATTAAGTTAAAATCACAATTTTAGATGTTTCATAAATAATTGGCAAAGGACTTTAAATCAGACTGAAATACAACCTGTCTGCCAGATGCTGCAAACTGTGAGCAGTAAATACACATTCTGAGTGCCAACCTTCAGCAAAGAGCATTTTTATGAGATTTAAGTAAAAACCATTAAATATTAAGATTCGGTCACATGAAACCAACTGCACCCAGCAGACTGATACAAAGAAAAAACATTGTGTTTTCTTTCCAGCATTTTGGTTTATAAGCATAACCTGGTTGTAACTTCTTGGAACTTCCTAAACGTTTCCTCCATTTTCCCACCAGTTCTTTGACAATATGTACCAAGAAATTGGATATGCTGTACATGTATTAATTGTATGTAGAAGATCCTGCCACTATAAACTGTTTTTCACATATAGACTTTTCAGAAATTTAAAACACAACATTGTGTTCCTGCTTTGCAGGAAAATACACTGCCTACAAAGCTTTTGTTTCATTTAACTTTTAGGAAATTCTGATTCATAATATTTAGAGGTGTTCATAAGCTTGATTACTGTGCATGAAAAACCAAGCTTTGACAGTGTGGAAACCATGAAGAAAAATGTTTTAGTAAATCACCAGTAGGATGTTTTCCAATTATTTTACAGAAATTATACAGATTTTAAGTTAAGATGTTTAAATGCCATAAATCAATCATACCAGCACCATTTGTGCCACTGTAGTAAAGATTACATCAGTGTTTCCATTATAAACCCCCTATTTTTCAGGGATTTCTAATTCAACCATAAAAATTGGCTCCAGCCTAAAGTTTGGCAACCAAAGTCACCACTTGGGAGCAATTCTTTTAACTTTTTTTTTAATGGATTGGCCTTTCAAGCTGCAAAATAGTTCAGAAAAAGAAAATCAGTGGTTTCAAATTTTGGTGAACTTTTATCCCTCAAGAACATTGTTTTAAAAACTGACAATTTTGTATGTCATAGATCTGTAATGTGGACTGCTGCTTTTGGGTAATTTGGAGAGAAGCACTGGATAAAAATCACCAGCTTATTTTGTTTAAAAATAAATGTAATTTTCCATTAACACTTTAAATCCAATCAAATTTTCACAAACAACTGTCTCATGGCAAGATGTGGTAGACACTGCATGAGGAAGCCTTCATGACTCGTTTATGCAGCATTTATCCCATTCATTTTAATTTCTGTGCCAAGAAGTACGTAATAACTGTACCTTGATCAAATCAAATCGTCAAGACAACAATTCCGCCCTTTGGTAACATAGATCTACCTGTGAGCTTCACACAGTACCTGACGAAGTTCTGCACAGAAAGAAGATTACATACTTCAAAAGCAGAGAAGCAACAGAACTCCTTTAAAAAGGATTTTGTTTAAAAATATGTATTAAATACTGATTCTAACCCACTAAAAGTCAGGTTTTCTCATGTGAAGTTATAAGAAATGTCAATTTTTAAACCTGGTTTAGTTCTAACATGTTAAAAAGTCCATTGGAATTAGAAGCTCAGTCCCATTCACTGCCTACGCACATCAGCAAAACACGTCAACAGCCCTGACGAGCTTTGGACTGAATCCTCCATGCAGTCTGAATTCCTAGAATAATTTTTTCTTAATTCATATTTAGACAGCAAATTGGTTTGGAAAGCCATTTCCATAAGTTCCAAGAAGTTTAACAACTCACATTTGGTTTTTTTTTTTTTGAAAAGTCATTTTAAATATATAATCATTGCTAAATTATAGCATTAGTTGCTTGAGGGAAGAATGTCTGGTTTATACTTAGCCCTTATGTCAGTGTCAATTTTAAACACTACACTTCTTGGCTTTTGCCAGTTTGCTGAAGAGCTGTATTTTCTTCAAACAGCTATTTGCAAGGAAAAAAGAGCTATTTGCCTCCTTCCCCACAACATTTTGTGACATCAAGCTAGTGCATGTTAATACAACTGATCCCACAAAAGTTAGCACATTCATATTTAACAAGTTTTCAAGGAATATTTCGATTGCAAAAAAAAAACCCTACAACTGTTGAACACAGACTTTTTTTAGCACAAACTCTGTACAGATCCTCATAAATGTAAGACAGCGAAAAAGCACAAAGAAAACAGAAAGGACTGATTCAGTTAGAGACAGATGCTATGCTTCTTTAGTTTTGGTGTTTCATTAACAAATATTGTTACTATGTTTCTATATTTGTTTTGAAATTGCAAATACTGTTGTTATTTTGGTTTTACATGTGGGTGTTTTTTTTTTTAGCAACTGATATTCTTTTGCATTAAAACCCCGTACAATACAATATCTACAACACGCACTTGGATATAAATACTTCACCTGACAATTCAGTTGAGGAAGGCAAAGTGTTTAATGAGAAACAGAACAGAGACGACTAGAAACTTAAAGTAACTGCATTATCCAAAAAGAAATTACATGACAGGTAGCACTGCTCCATAGCCATGTCATACTTCTGCAATGGCCTTGCAGCTCTCAAAGTCCAACGACTTTGAGCCCGAGCACGTTAAGAACCTCCAAGGTACCTTCTATGCAGTGTTGGCTGTGCAATAGGTGGCAGATACCTCTCTGAATCATGCATAAGCCTGTGACTCCAACCACTTTCTTTTGGTTGAGATGTAAAACTTGTGGTCCCTTTTTTTTTTAAATAGTGCCAATCTTGGGTTCCCAGCCAAATTCCAAATCACAATTATACATTTTATGATACCTACTAAAATAGTCCACAGAATTTCAATTGTACGTGAATATCTGAGCTACCCTATGCCATAATACTCCTACTCACGACTCAGATATAAAAGTAATCTGTGCTTCACTGGAAACATCACCACAACTCTTTATTTTCTGACCAACCTTTGTGATGGCATTGTATGTATATAAATTCCTGTAGTATTCCACCATTAACTGGCTACACTTCTCTGCTCCCTGAAGCAATCTTCTCACATCAGCATTTAGATGAAGGTGATAACACTGTGAGCACTTTTACTGATTGTTTTACTAGGGTACTAGGGCTGGAAAGCTAAGTGGACTATTAAATATCAAGAAGCCAGGATTTGGTTAAATTGCATGAAATACAATACTGAAAAATCAACATTAACTTTGAATAACCAACTTTTTTTCCCTCCACATTAACTCACTCTGAATAATCCCCAGTAGGAGTGACCAAGCTTCCTCACCTTATAAGCCACCTACCATATATAAGACGATTAAGATCAGATTTTTCCCACAGCTATGCACAGGGCAGGAAACTAGTAACAAATATGGATTTGTAAGAAAAAAGGGAAAACGGTCGCAGAAAAGGAGAAACCAAATTTACCTAGACACTGCACAAAGAGCATGGACTCTAGCAGGCCATTAGAAGGTGGCCCTAGAATCAGGCACAAAGAAGAATGAACCGTGGCACGGACAGGATGGAAACAAAAGTGCACTGCGTGCCTAGCAGAAGGAAAGCACGCAGACCTATGCACAGGAAGTTGTATATGCAGTTATTTCCACCAGAGAGACAACAGAGCAGGCACAGTATGGAAGGGGTCCTAAAAATGCAGGGTCCTGTAAGAGTTTTTTAGATCAGAAACTCATGCTTCATGAATTCAGAAATTCAGCATATCCCTTTGAGACTTAAAGATAGTTTTGTTATAAATGAGAAGCAAAACTGTGTTTCTCCAGGAATAACATTCTCAGCAGAGATAAGAACCTTAAAGCATCTAGCTACCGCTGAAATTAGCTCCAGCACGTTTTAAGAAAAAGAACCTATTCACTGCAAATCAGTTTTTAAAAAAAAAAAAAAAAACCCACACCATACTGGTTTATGGTAGGAGATAATGTTTTCTCAAGAGGACAAGCAGAGTCCAATTTCAGCCAGGGATGATGATAGAAAAGATCACATCTTATACTAGTGTTATCAACTGCAGTATCCCCTAACCAGAGGTACACATGGACTCCCAATTACTTTTTTCTGATCTACACAAACCCCATTCTCTTCTTTTAGCCAAAGGTCACTTATTAAAACTACCATGGGGTGCATGTATTCGGGAACTCAATATACACATTTTAATTGCATCTTGCAAAGATCAGAACTAAATTTTAAAGGCTCACAATGATGACACATACTCACATATGTCCATGTCCTTGTGTGCACACCCAAACACACAAATAAATTTGAGCGGTCAAAATTCACCAAGCGGAAAGTTTGCTTGACACATGCTGAACAGAAGCCACCAGGCAGAAGCAGTTCTTGATGCAGAGATATTAAACTACTGCTGACTGAAAATCTGCATGGCATTTCAATTAGATTATTTTAGAAAACAAGTAATTTGTTTCAGTTATGGCTTTTTACATAACATATGGGGGGCAAGGAAAAAAAATCGGGTTTTAGACATTATTACAAAAAATTATTTGTCTCCACACTTTGTGAACTGAAAGCCCAAACTGATGTGTGGCACAGAGTTGGCAAATAGAAGAAAATGGAGAAAAGTGGCCTCAATGAGATGCAAAGTGGTGAAATGAGGAAGACAGGGTCATCAGAGGAAAGTCTGGTGAATTTTCAAAAATTCACTGATTTCCTCACTGAAAAACAATGTGAAAACTAAAAAAATAAAACACCGCAATAAATAAGACTTAAAACTTGTGTGCACCTAAGAGGCAAAACACACCAATTGAAGCTCTTTACTTGTAAGGAACTTCTGAAGCATATCTTTTTCTTGAAGAAGCAGCACCAAATGAATAAGTATTCTTGTCTCAAAAGACTGAGCAGGCTGTTGTCAAAAAAAAAAAATCAGTACTTTCATTTTAAAAATCGACAGCATTAGTAGTTCAAAAGCTTTCCCACTGCTTACCTCATTGCAATGTTGTAGGACTCTGGATGAATACAAGTTTGGTCCAAAGGATTGGGGTGTCGTGAGGCACATGGTATTGGTTTGCTCTTCTTTTTACCCAGTGCACCTGCTTTAGTCAAAAGCGCGCGACTTCCAAGTTCAGTTTTCTTACTACTGTCACAGATAAAAAAAATGGACATCATTCTTAATGAACAAGATCCTAGCCTAGTACCCACACATAAAAAAAAAATCAGAATTTTTTGTAATGTTCATTCTTTTACAAAAAAAGAATCTAAGTAGAAGACTGCTCAAAGGTCATTTTGGGTGAATCTTAACATTACAAATGTAGCATGAAGATATCAATGTATGCCTATATTAATTCAAAATAGAAACAAACATTGGGAAGGGATTCTGTGCCCCAGCAAAATTTCTTCATGATGATAGGATTATAAAGAAAACACTACACAACTTATTGTATCACTTGCAATTTGGATAGCATTCAAATATGGGCCAAGTCAAAACATGAAAAATTTGAAGTCTAAAGAACTCAGACCAAGATTTGCTTAGAACAGGAAAAGAGCTAAAGGTGAAATCTACCACTATTCCAGAATTTCTAGATAATTTTTGCAAATGTATCTTAATACAGCTTTCCTGAAAACTCAGTGAATACATTATTGACTCCTAGTCAGTTAGCATTTGGATTTTTTATTTTCTTCAATTGGCTGGATAATGAGAAAGCTCCAAAGTTAGATATCCATGGACAAAATGCCACTTCGGTAAGAGGACCTTACAGAACACAGGAGAGATCAATCTCTCTTTGTCTGTGTAGTGCATGTACAGCTAACACACTTCTTCACAAAAAGCTTCTCTTAAGTAAAAAAGTGCTCAGGATACAGTAAAGGCATCAAAGGCTCCTCTCTCACATCTTTTTTTGTTTGTTTTTGTTTACTAAATCACAAGGGGTTTCTGCTTTCACAGGACAAAAGAGAAGGCACTGAAGGACCCAAAACTAGCACTCATGCTTTGGGCTCTACCTACACATAGACCATAGACAGAAATTCAGACATAACTTACTTTTTCCATATCAATTTTTAAAATAACCACTGTTTGTTGACTTCCAAGTACAAAGCACAAAACCTAATTCACACAGCACACTAGCCATCAACATGATTAGAGTGGACAAAAATGAAAACCTTCTCAAAGTCCATTTAAAAAATGTTTGGTTTTGCCACCTGGGCTCAGAAGAGATGTTATGGAGGCAGTGCTGTTAGAGCTTTATTTTGGCTTCAAACTCCAAGGTTTGAGCAGATTTTTCAAGTTATACAGTGTTCTCAAGTTTTACGGAATCTGACTAACATCAGAAGCATGCTCCATCAAAAAAAAAAATAGTGTTCTTAAACATTTCTGTGAACTTCTGGGCTGGGGGGAGCGGGAAATGGTGTCAGCCTTTTCTTTCCCTGTTGCATTACAATATTCACTAGAACAGACTTGTGCAACGTGAGTCCTATCGATCATATACAGCCTTGAAAGCAATTTCTTTGGTCTTCTGGTGCTTGCAGCGTGCACCATTTGGCCTGCAGCATGTACCTCCCTGCCAGATGGGCAACCAATCTGTATACCTTCCACCCGGGCATTAAGCCAGTCCTAATGTGCCTACCTCCTGCCTGGAAGTTACACATGTGCTATTTGGCCAGCAGCAACTGGGAATACAGTATTGCTTCTGAGCATTGGGTTGGCTAAAAAATAGCATGTACTTCCCAGGAAAATATTTTTTGAGGAGTCAGCAGCAAAACAGTGGGAATGGTGCTGCCACTGTGCCCATTCTTAATTTTTTATGTTGGAAGGAGAAATGGGAAAGACAGGAGAAGAGAGGTTGCCCTAGAAAGGGCACTTTCAGTTGTGGAGAGGAAGGATTTCAGGTGAAGAGGAGAAGCACAACGAACAGTTGCAAGAGGGAAAGGCTTGGTACAGACAGGAAATGAGATGGGAGGGAAAAGGATGACCCACTGTTGACAAACTAGAGTTGGAAAAGGGCCTCTTACACACTTGTGACAGAAGGCATTCAAATCATGCTTGCGAGGCACAGGAGTATAACACAGAATGAGCTTGGTCCAGGCAGCTTATTCAACTTTCTCCAGTTAATGGAATTGAAACTGTCAGAAAATCCACTCTAGTTTACGACCATTATGTTCTGCAGAGTAATCTTTACCACATTAAAATGATTACAAATCTCTAAATTATGCCTGAAACACAAGACTAAGGTTTTAATATCATGATCACAACACTGCCCCATACTAAATTTCTTCTAACAATTCAGTAGCAGAATATATAATTAAACTTACATACTTATAGAAACCCTGACTTAGAGTATTAGGCTGACAAACCATGATATTCAATCAACTACTGACTTAAAGAAGTTTATTTGTTAAATACTGCCTTTCAGAGGGAAAAGGCCTAGGATTCCTCAAATCTCAAGCCTGAATACAAAAATGAAAGGGAATAAGTCTTTTCATAACATTCTGGATAATTCAGTCAAGACAGCAAACATCTCTATTACCTGCAGAAGTTCTTTATATATTCTTGATTGAATCTGATGAAGCCAGCACACTGTTGGAAGGACTTTGGACCCAGACCTTTAACTTCCTTGAGTTGCTCTCTGTTTATAAATGGTCCGTTCTTCTCTCGCCATTCAATTATATTTTTAGCCCTGTTAGCATTCAGTCCTGCAATGTGTCTAAGAGAAAAGTTTAAAGAATTACCACTGAACAGTCATTAATACAAGTACCATCTATTACCAGGATACACATTACTGTAGAAAATCTGGCTTACAAAACTTAAACAGCTAAGAAATTTGCGAAGACTCACAGACCAAAGGCATCGTCTGAAAAAGGATCCCTTCTTTTGGTCCTGTGGAAGGAATCCACTCAAGTCAACAAAACTTGGTACAGCAATACAGTTCCGCACATACCTAACTAGTAAGCCAGGGACGTGTAATTTATGATCTGTTGGCTATTTCTGTAATGCCAATTCAATCTGTCATGTCTTATGGCCTGCCCCCAGCTGCCCTCTTCAGGAAACAACATGGAGGAGGGTTCAGGACACGTAAATTGTTCCTGTGAGCACAGCCCCTTCTCAGCTCTTCTCCAATGGCACCGCAACACCATGCCCCAACATGAAGAGCTGATGTCTGCTGTGCAGAAGGAGAGTGGCTCAGAGCAGCTTGCCTTCCTCACACAATTTAACAGATCCACACAGCTTGTTACTTTTCTCTCAGCTGCTCCTGAGATAAAAGAGCAGCTGGGAAGGGGCTGCATGAGTTATTCTCAGGGCAACTCAGATTTGGCAGAGAACTCACCTGTAAAGTGCAACTGCAGTAAGCCAAGTTCCTTCAGGAAACAGTGGGTTTGCTGCACGTTTTTTCTGTACGTACATGTGAGTACAACTTTCTGTGTACGGAGTATGTTAATCATAGAAAGAGGGAAACGAGCTGTGGTGGGCAGTTATTCCTGGCAGTAAAGAAGGAAATGTCACCCATCTGGCTCTATATATGAGATGCCATTGCTTTAAGTCAATGGCAGCAGAGACCTGTTTGTGGAATGGCATGGGCTGGTTCTAGAAAAACACCACCAGCAAACCTGGCAAGAATAGCCTAAAATCAGGGGAAAAAAAAAATATTTAAAAAAAAATCCATTCTTTTCATCCTCAAACAGAAGTTAAAAAAATAATATGTTGGTGAAACCTCAGAATCAGGATTAAATTGGAGACACACACCTTGAACCATAGATAAAATATTAAACATCAGGAACTTTCTCTGCAGATTTCTTAGAAAGATTATGAAATCCAGTTTATTTACACTGACAAAGGAACATTACACAGTTCACAGAATTTTCCACTGATGAAATCTCAAGCTTTTCAAGTATGCCACTCAGCAGTAATGCAAGTACTGTAGCACTGTCACCCCTTCCACGCATGACACGTCAAGAAGTGTATTTGACAGATCAGAAAGCACGAGCAGAAAGCCCTGGTCGTGGTATGTTCTAGCTAGGGTGACAATTTCATACACCATACGGCTGAGGGAAACTTGGACTACATCTACACAGAACAGCAGGATTAAATTGCTCAGAATCAAGTTAGACCTTGATGCAGAACATGCATATGAGCATCCTAAACCAGGTTAATTAGACCAAAGTACTCAGCCAAGTTGGTTACCTCCTGTAACCATGACTGGACAGTGTAACTCTACATTCAGAGTTTCGTGGAGACACAGCATCTCCTCAGCTGAACTGTCCAAATACACTTGTATCCTGCAGAAGGCTGACAGTGCTCCCTCACTGCACTTGCTCAGGTAGGGTTTTAATCATGGAATGAAAGCTGGCCAGCCTCATTTACCAATAGGTACTGCTTGCTTTCTTACTAATAGCTGATCTAAATCTGAAAGAAGGTAAGACAGAAGTAGATCAGGAATCAGGATAAGGATCAGTTACACAGAAAACTAATATGGAAGAGAAAGTAGAAAACCAAAAAAGAACACAAAAAGCTCATCTTCCAAAATAAGGAAGGATGAGGTTTTCAGGAATGATTATAAGGGGTTAAAAAATTAAAGAGCTAACAAAAATACATTTTTCCTAACTTTGATATCTAATATCATTGTCACTACCAAGACTATGGACATAGTTTTTCTTCCTCTCAATACTATACAGAAAGACAGCAACACTTTCGTTCCTCTTTGAGGCTGTTCAGCTGAAAACTGAGGCCTACACACTCAAGAGCTTTTAATCTCTAACCAAGAGAAACAACATCCATAACATTTTCCAAGTAAATATGGCATAATTATTAAAAAAAAAAAATCAGTAAAAGGGTCAATTTTTTTCAGCAGTTTCCCCTTAAATCTTTCCTTCTCTCCTTTCCTCACCCAACTTTTACAACCTGTCCCACTTAGAAGGTATTTTTCTAAGTACTGCTAAGAGACAGAAAGTACGTTTGAAAATCCCTTTCTCTGTGTAAAAATACAAATTAATTATATCAAGTTTTTCTAAAATCGCAGCATTGGTTCAAAATTTTTAAATATCTGTTTTTCTCTGAAGAATAGTTTTACCCTGGAGAATCACACATACTCTCAAAAACTGCCTCTTAATGATCCAGTGAAATACTGTCTTAATGTGTCATTTTCATGTAATTGGAAGTTTAACACAAGAGCCGTTTGCTCCAGCTGAGCTTGAGTCAGATGGCAGACTAAACAGAGACTCTGTGATCCAGAGCCATGCAATTACTGGAATAGGAAAATGTTTGACTCACCTTAATAGTATTTCTGAGCAGATGTTAATATCAACTCCTACAAAGCTGACACACTCTTCAACCACACTGTCCAGAGTTGCTTTGAGCAAAGTCTGTGATACATCATGCTGAGAAACGAAAATGGACATATCACATCACTGAAATATCGAAGCGTACATAAATCAGAACTGCAAACAATACTAACACTAATGAAACAGTTGCTGGAATTTATCAATATCTTATGTGAGGCTACCAGTTAAACATAAATTGTAGAACATATTTTTAAAAGGTGTCCAAGTATCTCTTTGCAGCATCTTTGGCATGCTACAAATCTCTCGAATAAGACACTCTTCACATTAACTGTGTAAGGTTTTTTTTGCTTAATAACTATTTCCCTGCGTCATGTAAAACCACAACTATATTAAATACTATGATTACTCAAAAGTAATGCTTCTATTCATCCACTATGTCTTGTTTTCAGTCTGACATTTATCTACCTATAATATCTATTTATTAAAAACAAGACAATATATTAAAAATAAGGCATTTAGAGAAAATATCACAAATGCTGTACTTTTGCACCTGCACACACAAACATTTGCAAAATTGTCCTGTTTATGAGCATCACACTACACACTTTTGTTATGTACTAAAAGAACAAGGCAGGTATTGTATGAGGGTGGTCAATACATAAGGTACATATCAGCCCCACGGCAACAAAACGTTTCAGATTGTGAACAGATATTTCTGTGAAGATTGGCAGGTCCTTGACCAAAGCACCACTAACCGAAATTCTTCCAGTTTTTCCATTATTGTCCATAGTGGTTCCCATTCCCTCCCTCCCAGAAAATCAGTCACACTTGTCAAAGATAAAAGTTCTGAAGTTCTAAGATTTCTTTTCCTCCCCAATGTAGGCATACCTTCAGTCTATAACTGCTAGTTCCCCACATAAGCCCATCAGTGCTTAGAAGTCTGACCTGGAGGGAGAAGCACTCTAAATGCAGGAGCTAATTCGATCACTATGTTGGCTTAGCTTTAGGGCTCTTATACATCACTCGTGTAAATCTGGGTTGATCTGTTGTGGTTTCACGATGCATTCATTTAGTACATCAAGCTGGATCCAATCCAAGACACCAAACACTTTATCCACTACTCTGTGTTACTTCTAAACCATTCAGATCCTTTTAAGGTTTCACAGTTAAATTTAACATGCCAACAGCATCAGTCCCCAGCTACTAATATTGATTGTTTGTTATTAACTGCTACTTGATGAACTACCATAAAGCTTATGGAAATTAATTTCATGGCCCCCTCATCTCAGGTAACAGCAACGTGATGTATTTTCATGATGTGATACATAAGGTTACTTACAAACAGGAAGCATAAATTTCACTAATATTACTCCTCCTATATCAAGTTTGCATGCAAAAAGCCATGTAGATGCGTACATACTGGCATTTGCACAGAATCTTGCCTCACAACCACAAAGCTTACTTGTACACTTTGCAGATCAAACTTCAGTTTCTACTTAATAATGTGTTTCCACTACAACATAACAGCTTCTCTTCTGAATAAAGAGTTAGAGACAAAAACACTCACCCTAAGAAGTCCTACGTTTCTATTTTTCTGACTTACTGAAGATGAAGCTTCTTTTAATGAGGATGTTCTATATATTCCCTCCTCCTGCCATCAGCCAGGTAACACACTAGAGCTAAAGGCTTCCAGCTCACATGCACACTCATGCAAGATTAATTCATATAACAGTACAAGCACAAAATTAAACACACGCAAGTTGTTATTTCTTACTCCAACACATAACAGTCATACCACTTGGAATGGACATCAAAGCACATACGTGAAGGTATGGATAAAGAAAAAGTGAAGGGGTAGATCTGACAGAACAAGATAAGCATAAGACAGCATAACTGAAACAATCCCTAAGCTATCCATACCTCACAGGAGAAAAACATCATTCACTAACTGAATGTATCTAAGTTGCAAACACTAGGAAAACTTTCCAGATGATAAATCTCCCTCCAGGATACAGCTACTGACCATCAGTTTCATTCTGCTACGAGGAAGAAATTTCTACATCCTTCTTTACACTGATACAAAGCACAAAGAAAAGTTAAAAAATTAGTTTCTAAAAGGAGTTAACTAAAAATAATATTATCCAAATGTCATTGTCAAGACTTCCTACTGCTAACAGGTTACACTTCAGAAAGGTTTGAAGTGCACTGCATTTTCTAGGCTTCCAAAACTATCACTCATCTTCTCAGTATCATCACCCAGAAAACAAAGCCACCTTGCTTCACAGCAAGTACTTAGGAAGTACTTAGACATCTGTTTGGTCTGTTTTCAGTGGGGAGGACTACAGAAATTAATCTGCCCTTAAAACTATCGGGCACTGTAACTGTATTTTAGTATTTTTTTCTAAGCAATGATCAAGTAAGCCAGGGAACAAGACACATAAAATGAATTAAAAGTGCCACAGTAAATAATTGTAGTTGACCAATAAATCAAAGCATTACATTTTTCTATTTTTTTTTTTTTTTAAGAGTATCCCAAATGTAAATTACATTTATGAACCTGGTAGAAAATTAAGGGCTGCTATTTTGATTTCTGGTCATAATTACCACTCAAATTAGTCTGTGGTAAATTTGGTAAAATTACCAGACAGAATATTCATTATATTGCATGTTTTTAAACCACCATTCTGCAAACCCATGTGAAAAAAAAAAACCCATTTCGATGTAACTTCTTTTCATGTACTTTCATTAAACACAGGCCAATGTTTAACACTAAGAGTAGTGTTTAAGAGCACCTGTCTACTATGCACATGGTAGTATTGGGGAATGTAATACTAAGACAAAACTTCAGCTATCTTTTTGTTTTACATGGAAGGAAACAGAGCGAGGATTGTTGTTTCACTCAGTTTTAAGAGTTAGTAACACTCACTGGAAATAATTAAGATTATTAAAAACTATCTTTTCCTTCAAGGGTGCTACTATAACTGTAATTGAAAAACATTTTCCTGTTTCAAAAACCTGGTGATGTACACAAAAGGAAGACAGTATTTTAAATAAATAGCCTCTCAGCTGTTACTTCTAGCAGTTTACCAGTACAGACACTGCAGAAATAAATCCGTCATGCTGATATGTATCAAGTCAAAGAACCACTGTTCACATGAAGCCCGGAGGCTGTACTTAGTCAACCTGTATAACCACAGATGGTGGACCAGTAGACTGACAACTTGGCCTGATCAAACACACTAAACACTGGATTGCTAGTGCTAGATAGAACAACCCTAACCAGCAGTTTTTACATGGAAGTAAATTACAACTCCAAGCTCTTTACCTTTGGCAACCTAAAAAATATCTCACAAATACTAAAAAAATACACACAACTAATGAATTTGGTAACCTTCCCTGGTCCCTTATAAAAACCATACTTTCAGAAAATATGGTATGATTGCAGGTCTCAGACAAATTCAAACAGCCTAAAACTCAACTGCTACACACAATTGTTAAATGCTTATTATTCTACATTTTCAAACATTTGTAGATATTGAGATGACAAGCCCTTGCATCGTTATCACTTTACAAAGCCCAAAAGCCAAGCCAGGCACTTTCCAATGCAGCTGAACAAGAGTTACTCATACCCTGCAGAGCCTACACATGTAGTGCAGACATGGCCTAACAATGCTGGCCACCAAGCAGTGGGCAGCTGTATTGGGTTTGTGTGGGCAGGTTTTGGTAGCAGGGCAGGGGCCACAGGGTGGCTCTTGTCAGAAGCCGCTAAAAGCTTCCCCAGCTCAATGTGATTCCATGGGAAGCCCAAGCTGGAGCAGGCTGCTCCTGAAGGACTGCACCCTGTGGGAGAGACCCACGCTGGAGCAGTTTGTGAAGGACTGTCTCCCATTGGGGCACCCCACACTGGAGCAGGGGCAGAGTGTGAGGATACTCCCCCTGAGGAGGAAGGGGTGAGCAGGTGCATGGTGTTAGCTGCCAGCTGGGACTAAACGACACCAGGAGGGGAAGAGTTCTCAAGTGTCAGAAGCAACCTGCAGGTTCTTGTCCCAGGCCTGGCATTACAATATTGTAAGAAGATTGACAGTCATCCTAAATAAGACTGAGCTGCACATCAGACAATATATCTTGCGAGGTATAACTTGATCAAAACACTTGCCCTTTAAATCCAAAAGTCAACTTTAAATGAAGTAAATGCAATTTAATTTTCTGTCTTTAAGTAAGCCCTGAAACACTTCAAACACCTCATAAAACATTATTTTGTTGGTACCTACCATTAATTTCTGTATCCATGGATTTTAATATTGGCATGTGAGACTAGCCAACATGCCTCTTAAAATACTTTTTTCTTTAAAAAATTGGTATGACTATGCAGCCTGAATGACATTTACTGAATGAGAAATTAGGTGGGACAACACACCCTAAGCAAAGTTCAAAAAACTATTATTTTACAGAACTCAATCCATGGAAACTTGTTTCAAAATTTAAAAAAGGGAAAAACCATTCTCTACTAGCGCTGTGGCCTACACAGAGTCAGCTACATCTCAAATGCTTGTGAAACCACAAAGCAAAATGCATTTAGGACAAGCTCTTAAGTACAGCAGGACTAATGTAATACAAACAGTCTAATGATAAGTACCTTCTCATGTGCCAAATTAGAAAAAAACTTAAAATGCACCTTACATGTCAGGTAGAAACATTGGAAAGTTCAGGCAGGGGTTTTAATCGCTGGTGTCCTCTGGAAAATCCCTTTCAGTTAGATTCTAAGAAAACAAGCTTATCCCTCTGATGTTTGATAAAAGAACCTAACTTCAAAAATTTCTTCTGAAGATAGTTTGTGGTTGCTCCAAATGTTATATTGTTATAGGATAGACTGTTATCCTATGTACTTAACTCTGACTCATTTCTTGTTTTCAAAAATCCAAATTCTGTTTATTTTAACAGCATATTACTATTACTGAAATATCCCAAGAGGGAAATGGGTTTATATTTTCAAAGAAAATGATAAAACAAAAACAAAGTCTGTCAGCTCTGACATTAAAAAAGAAATCAGAAAAGCACAGTTGATCACGTAAATGTTTCAAGTTACTTGCAATTTGTAGGAATACATCTTACATTTACTTGTGCTCATGTCCTAACAGAAGCAGTAATACTGCTAAGCTTGTTACACAAATTCAAACCCATTGCTAATGTCTGATTTCTAAAGCTAACTTGTCTGACATGAGCAAGCTAGCAGAAAACTACATATATCCAAAAACACCTTCATCTTTCCAGCACAAGTACCAATTTTCTCCAGTGCATATTGTTAGATGCAGGAAATTGAACCGCAATTATAATCAACCACATAACTCCTTGAGATTTCAGTGGGACATGGTCTTTTTCCCCATCAGTAGCAAAAGTGATGGCCCAAACTGTTAGGTGGAAAGCCTATGTTTAAATTTACAGTACAAAACTATTTTGGAGTTGTCAAAGCTCTACAAATATAGAGAATACCCTGCAATACTACAGAAAGATAAAGCAAGGACCATGAGGAGTAGTTTTACAGATTACATGGCTGAAAGGCAACAGATTCAGTTGGGGATCTTCCTGAAAAGTGCTGAAGGATAAGAGGAAAAGAAAAAGTTACACTGATAGATAAAGGAGAAATAGTACATTTCTAGAGAGACAAGACAGAAGTCATGAAGCCCAGGTGAGTCTGGTCATCTGTGGGAATTCTGTTTAGTCTGAAGTCAGTGACCATCCATCCCACTGCAGCAGACAGGTGAGAACATCAGCTCCTGGGTATAAAGTT